CCAACTTGTGTTAAGATTTCAAATTCTTGTTACGACTCTGTTTGTTTCGCGAAAAATGAATGATTTGAAAAATGTATTACAAAAAACGATCGCTTACAAAAATGAATGAGTGGAAATATTTTCATCATCCACGAAAATATTTAGATATAAATTATCGTCGATAATGAAAGCATTTCCCGTTGACTAATTATTTCTTGTGATACAAGTGATCATTTTTAATTTTTTATTTCTAAATCATTCATTTTCTATGAAACAAATAGAACCTATTCAATCATTGCTTCAAGGTCAGAGAGCAAGCGCAAAAGAGAGAGAGTTGTATCTTAGGAGGCATATTTTGCATGCACGCACTTTCATTTTTACGTTTTGTCTTTTCCCTCACCGACCCAAAAAAAAAGGATGCACTTTCATTTTTTAAATTTTGGACATGCGCGTCCAAAATCCAATTAACCCATGCCAAATGTTTGATTCGTACCTCTTAATTAGATAAACAAAAATGTCTCTCTCACTTATATTTTGAGTGAAAGCTAACATGAATGCTACATGTGTTGTTAGGTGAGGGAGCAAAGATAGCATGTCCCCCCATATGTTCGTGAAAAAACAATTTGTTTATGCGTTAATGTTATCTTCATGGATCCTCCGTTCCAACCACGATCCTTTCTGCTTCCTTGGTTGACTTTGCCACCTTGAGCATCTTCGAAATAAGTTAAAGGCTTTATCTGCTTGGATTGGATCATGATCCTTCATGTATTGACTCGATTGGATACTCCCACAAGCCTTCCAGAGACAATATCCCTTTTTTTTTAAGAGGAGATGATGAGCCTCCCTTTAGTTACACATTCTAGAGATCAATGGAAAATTGTAATGTACATCTTCAATGTAAAAGAAGACTTTCCATAACCAAATCAAGGGTGGATAAGGCCACTTGTGATAAAATTTCTTTACACTGATGGTGTATGTTATGATTACTCACAATTAATGTGTTGACACAACAAACTCTTCGATTGATGACTTCGTTGACAGAGACTGGGTAAGAAGTGACAGAGGTGAAAATCCATCAAGTGTCGAGAGCTTCTATTTTGATAGATCTAGTTAATCGACACGAAAACTCGGCTTTAGCCAACGGAGGATATCATTGGAAGTAAGTTAAGTCTTAAAGCAAGGCGTCGACAAAGAACAATCAACTTAACCGGGGGAAGAACAGTATTGGTGTCAAAACTTGTGTACGGAGGCCACTTTGATGTCAAAAGTTTCAATCGGATCACTTAAATGCTAAAAGTTATGAAAAACGATCACTTAAGTGCCACTTCGCCAGAAATCCGACGTGGCATTTTTTTATTAATTTCTCAAGCTGATGTGGCTCGCCGGAGGCCGATGTGGCTCGCCGGAGGCTGATGTGGCATTTCTTTTCTTTTTTTTTTCCTTTTCTTTCTTTTTTCCTTTCTTTTCTTTTTTTTTCTTTTCTTTCTTCTTATTTCCGATGGCCGGCGTCCGGCCACCGGCCTCGTCGGGCATCGCCTTCCTCTGGGCGAGGCTCGGCGAGGCCGCCGTGGCCTCGGCGAGGGCCGGCCTCGCCGGATCTGGCGGGGCGAGCCCTCGCCGGGGCTCGCCCTGCCCAGGCGAGGGTCGAGGTCGGCTGGGCAGGGCGAGCCCCGGCGAGGCCGGCCTTCGCCGAGGCCACGGCTGCCTCACCGGGCCTCGCCCGGACGAAAGCGACGCCCAGCGAGGCCGGCCATGGCCGGTGGCTGGCTTCCGGCCACCGGCCATGGTAGAAGAAGAAGAAGACATAAATGAAAAAAGAAAAGAAAGAAAAGAAAAAAAAAAAGAAAAGAAAGAAGAAAATAAAAAAAATATTTAAAAAATTGAATTATACACATGGAAATGCCACGTGTCATTAAAATTTAAATATAAAAGCCACGTATTAAATTTGATCGGAATTTCTCGCCGTTGACACTTAAGTGATCGTTTTTTCTCCGATTTGGCACTTAAGTGATCGCCGGCGTAAACTTTTGGTACTTAAGTGATCCAAATGAAACTTTTGGCACAAAGTGACCTCTGTACACAAGTTTTGGCACCAATACTGTTCTTCCCCCCAACTTTACCTATAAAAGTGTCACGATCAAGATAACTGTCGAGGAAGTGGAAATGATATAACTGTCAAGTCATGGAGTCAATGATTTCAGATAAAACCATTAGAGGAGCATCCACAAAGAAGCGGAATCGACGCAACTGCCATGAAGTGGAGCTAGCACTCTCGGGTGAAACTAACAATGGTGATCGTGAAGAAGTGAGAGTGATGCAACCGTCAAGTAAAGGATTCTGCAAATTAGGAGAAACCTTTCATAGATAAAAATTGCTAGTTCGTAGGAGACAGGTAGGATGTGTTTCATGTTTTTGTTACCGTTGTTAACTGTCGATACTAGAATAAATACTTAAATTGTAGTTTGTACAAAGGATCGCCAATCAAACAAAGAACACCCAGTTGTTCATCTTTACTTCCGATTAACCTTTACATTTCTAGTACATATTACATGGCTAGCAACAATGATTCCTATTCTTAGTATCTTTAACATTTTTCGTCATTTACATTTCCTGTCCAAGAATCATCAAAGGACCCATCACACTCTTTGTCAGTTAGTATCAATCGATCCTTCTTTGTAAAAATATTTGATCGATACTTTTCAAGGAAACATAATCAATATCATCACCCTATTTTGGTTTAAACAAAATATGGAATTTGGACTCTTTAAGTATAACATCTACGATTCTGGCCATGAGAAATGGTTATGGAACTAATGTGCCGATAGTGGGGGAAATCGGCCATGGACCAATCCAAGGATCGGTCATGGACCGATCAACCCGATCGAAAGGGTAACCAAGGGATCAGTCATGATTTGATCGAAGGATCGGCTCTGAAATGATCGAGGGATTGGCAGTGAATCAATCCAATGACCATGCAAGTGACTCGAGCTATTTGGCCATGGAACGGCTGATCGACCATAAGGGTTGATTATGGGACGGTCACGTACCACCGCGGATCAATGGACGATCATGGATTGATCCCGTGCGGTCTTATTCCAGTCACGGGTGATTCCGCACGGTTATGTACCGACTGTGGATGACCATGGATCGATCTGTACGACCGTATGTCGGTCATGGAACGATCGATTATACACAATTACATGACAACCGAGAGTCAGTCACGGACCAAGTATGCTTGGCCATGGACCGACCATGAACTGGCAATGGGCTACTTGGGATGGGTCATAGATTGATCATGGATCGATCACAGATTGGCTCGGCGACCCTGCCGATTAGGCCAAGTGCTAAGTTGTGAGCCAGGCTTTGTGCCAGGCCATGAACCGGCCATATGTCCAAACTTGGACCCAGTTGTAAGGCCATGAGCCAGCACAGGCACCGGCCATGTGCCCGGCTAGGTCGTGGACCCTGTTGACAGGCCACGAGCCAGGATAGGCACGGGCCATGCGCCCGGCCAGTGCTGGCCACGGAGCCCACACGATGGGCCACCGACTTAGCCAATCTAGGCAAGTTTGGCCATGACCCGCCTCATCCGATAGTGATTCGGGTACGAACCTCGGTTTGGTTAGGACGGTCAATCGTGAATAGACATGAGGAACTCATACCCAACTGTGTTAGTGCTTTCATTGGCCTAATTCTCATGTTTGCTATATTCTTGAAAATGGACATAATAGAAGACTATAAAACATTGGCCATTTAATGCAAGTGGTGAATCATCATCTTAGGTGGCCTTATGAAGATTTGGTAATGATGGCCTAAAATTTGGCTTGAAGAAGAAGCAAGTGATTCATGGCTTATGTGGCTTTATGAAGATTTGGTAATGATGGCTTAAGATTTGGCTTGGAGAAGAAGCAAGTGATTCATGACTTAGGTGGTCTTAGGAAGATTTGGTTATTATGGCCCAAAACTTGGCTTGGAGAAGAAGTAAATGACTCATGACCAAGTATACCAATTAGAAATGCACATATTGGCTTCATCATTTCCCTAAGAACTTAGGCATGCCACACCATCCTATTAGGCATGCCACCTTTTCTTGTTAGGCTTGCCACTCATGCAATAGACTAGCTAACTCATTCTAGTAGGCATGCCACTTCAAGAAAACCTATTGGACCACTTGGACAAGTAATGATGAGGATGGAGACTATAAATAGAAGCACCCCCTCTTTCAATTCCACATTTTGGCTCACTTTCTCACCTTCATCTCCTTGCATGCCACCTCCTCCTTTTAGGCCATTTCTTGGCAAAGCTTCTCTAGTTCATCTCTAGATAAGTGAAATTACTAATCCTTAGCTAGGGTGATATGCTGCATAGTTGAATTTGGACGTGTGCTCACTCGTATTTTGTCGTGAGTATGAAGAGGAATGCTTTTGTATGGTTTGCTCATGTGGCATGTTTGAGTGTGTTCACGTCCCGAGACAAGATTGAGGTTCACTTGGCTTGGAATCAACGTTAAGGTGAGATAAACCAAGCCGTAAGGCCTTGGTCGACATTGAGGCGTGCCGGTTCCAAGTCTTGCTCGGTGCGGGGATCGGCGCTAGGCGTTCGGTTCAAGCCACGAATCAAGGATTATTCCTGGTATACTATTTAGTGAGGGTCACGACACACACTCTTGTTTGAACATGCCCCGGGTCACAAACGAGTCTCACTCGGTTATGGGAATCGGCATTGAGGCATGATGGTTTGAGCCTTGCTTGGCATTAGATCGGCATTAAGGCATGTCGATTCAAGCCTCGCTCAACTTCGGACCGACGTCAATGCATGTCAGCTCAGTCACGTGTTGTGCTCGGTTCATCAGTTTAGCTGTAACATTATAGGCTATGGCATACATACACACCTGTATGAGCACGCTTTCAGGCTTTGTTTGCATTGGCTAAGAAACAAAGATAAGAATCCGGCTTGCGTGAATATTGTTGTGTGGTCACATAAAGGAAATAGCCGTCGCTAATGGATTTTGGTGACGTTGCCTAGTGATTCCGGATGCCCAGCTTGAAGTTGGAAGCCCATGAGAGTATGGGATGCTCGGTGGATTCCGGATGCCCAGCCTGAGGCTGGAAGCCCCTGAAAGTATAGGAAGAACCGTGTAAGATGGTTAATGAACCGTTGATGTGTGTTGTCATTAAGTTTATTGATAAGCCGAAGGTAAATCGTGCCTTGACGGTAAGCCGAAATTGATCATAGTCGAGGTACAGTAATAGTATTGCTATTGACCTGCCATCGATGCTATGGTGCAAGTGATGTTCGCATGGTGGGTTCGACGACAAGACGTTCTCCTAAGTCAGAATTAATGATTTTACTTACCGAGTCTTTGACTCACTCCGTTGTCTTTCAGACTTGTAGGTATGGACGTACTCACCTCTTCTTCGTCATGGAGTACCGGTTTTGAAGTTGCAGCTTTGCTAGAGGAGATAGGAATCCCATGGCCTACGTTTTTGGATAAGAAAATAATGTAAACAAGAAGTGCTTGAAGAAAAAGGGGCTTGTAAATGTACTGAGGCAATATGGAAGTAGTGTGTTCTGTATGGTGTTTTCCTAGCTGCTTGTTTGTTGTGTTGTCTAGGTGTTTGTCGTTATAGATGCTTCCGCTTGATCGTAACGAAAAAATTAAAAAGAACTTGGTCGGCGACGTGCCTGGTACGTCGCACCAATAACCCCCGACGACCGCGAGTCGTGACATTAAGAACATTCTATCAATATTTTCATGGCTTGGTAGTTTCTCGGTGTTAGTTGTGGCTCGAAGTTAACTTCAAACTTATTTGGATCTAGGTGAAGGCATTGCGAGCCCTCAAGAGGGCCTGGTGGAGGGCTCGCAACGCCCTCGCCACCACAGTGAGGGCTCACAAGCCCCGCAACCCTCACCCGTGGTCGGCGAGAGCTTCATGGCCCTCGACCAGTGGTCGGCAGCTCTACCGGCCCTGTGAAGAAAAAAAAAAGAAATAATATATAAAATAAAGAAAAAATTCAAAATATTTTGAAAAAAAAATATCCATGTCAATGTTAGCTGCACCATGTAGGACGGATCAATGATTTTCGATCAAAATTAGCTGGAAGGACTACATTGGTAATTCGTGAAAAGGTTTAGGACTAAATTGACACAATTGAAAAGTTTATGACTAAATTGGCGAATTGTCAAAATGTTTATGACTAAATTGACACAATTGAATAGTTTAAGGTTGAATTGGCTACCGTACAAAAAGTATAAGACTTAATGGACAATTTTCCCCGATGCCAACCATAAATGCGGGCTCCCTACAATTGGCTTTCAGGCACCCAAGACTCATCTATTGTAAGTTTCATCTCTTTCATGGGTGCATGACCTACTTTTACGAGCGCGATTGATTGCTCATAGTTTTTTCTTTTACCTAATTTCATATCTTATATCAAATTTAACTTGCGAGAGAACTTTGCACAGTCATTATAGAGAGTTTATGAGTGATGAACATGGTAGATCTCTTTGCTTCGTTTTCGAGAGATTTATTGGATGTAATTGGATCCATTCCCAAAACATATGAATGATTAAATGAGCCGAATCATATAATCTCTGCTTGAATATAGTAGAATTCCTTTGATCTCTCTTCATTGGCATATATACATTTGGCCGAACTATGTAAATCTCCATTTGCAATTGAAGTTTAGTTCTCATTACTCGTTACATATGTTTTCATTTCTTCATGTCCTTGTGATATTTAGGTGCGTATGGTAACATTTTTGTTTCCGGGAATAAATTCTGTTCAAAAATATTTTTTCTATTTCTATTCCCTTAATGAGTTTTTGAGCAAAACAACGCATTTGGTAACTGCACAAAATTTATATTCCGAGAATAGAAAAAGAACGTAAATGTATTTAGTTTGATCATAAAAATTTCTGTTTCTAATTTTTTTCATTTAATTATAAAAATGTCAGTGGAGACTTAACAATTCATGTTTGAATAAAATCGGACTATTGTAAGAACTTATTTTATCAAGATATTCTAAGATAGCCTCTGAAAATCCAACGTAATAGTTAGTGAAAGATAGATGGCTGAAAATGGCATAATTTTACTGGTTTATAACTCATATTATTAAGGAGGTTGACAATAAATCTTTGGGCATTACAATAAATAGGTGCATAGACCTTTTAAGCTTTAAGGTGCAGGGTGTAATGTATAGGGTTTAGGGTTTTGATTTTTGGGTGTAGGGTTTGGGGTTTAGGGTGGAGGGTTTAGAGTGTAGAATTTAGGGTTTAGGTTGCGCTGATCTTGTTTCTCTAAACTGACTTTGTTTCTCTTTTTGTTCCCTGGAACAAAAAGGTAGATTTTTTTTACTTCTTGTTTCTGTTCCAAATCTATTCCCTGGCCATTGATCTATTCCAGGGAATAGAAAAATTAATTGACGTACACAAACAGATTTCTTCTTTTTCTCTTCCGGGGAACAAAAATTACAGAAAAACAAAAAAAATGAAATGTTATCAAATAGGCCCTTAGTGAAACACCCAGTCCCATCACAATCATATAATTAATGCAAGGAAGCGGTTAGAATGGTAGGATCGTATTTTCGTCAATTGATGGTTGAAGGAAATTTCCCCTCATTACTCGTAACCAACTACTTAGAAAATAGGTAGGAGGAAATTTTCTGCAATAAAAAATATAGGAAAATATAACCCTAAAAAGAATTGTCTTCGTTGGAAGTACTCAGCCCATAAAAATTTTGAGTTTTAACCAACTCATGATCTACTCAAGATTACTAGTAATTAACCCAATGGTAGTTCCTTTTGTTTTTGTTCAGGGTAATGACATGGGCAGTCTTGATTCTCAGTGTAGTCCCTAAACTTTTTTTGGTTTGTTTAATGTAGTTCTTAAACTTCAATTAATGGAAGGATCATAATGAGCCGATTTCATAAAATTCGGGGAGTAAATTGCAAAAGAGAAACTTCAGCAAGTACATCGAATACCAAGAAAAAGTTTAGAAACAATTCATGTTATTAGCCTTTTTTTGGTCCCAAAGAAGCGGATCAAGCTCTCGAACCTTGAAATTTGGACGGGAAAAAAGTCTCTTAAGATTTAACTTCAAATCTAATAAGAGGAAGAAATTGATCCCGATGGCTATATAGGTTTTATAAGATCGACCGATATATTTGCCTTTAAATATTCCATTTACCAATAATTACATCTGACATGTAAATAAAAATATAAGTGAAAGATTTCAATGTGTTCATCTCGACTTAAAATGGGGATTTGTCAACATTCCCCGCAACGTCCGAATTCTCGGAAGTGACTAGAGAATGTATTAGAAGAAGTGACGAGTGAAGGACTAACCTATACCACCAAAGTGGTGGCCTAGTGATAAAGGGGTCACATGTTTTCAAAAGGTCACAAGCTCAATTCACGTTACAAGAAAACCCTTGAACGGCTTGTAGCACTATCTAGTTGTAGCATATCTTGTATCAAGAGGCAATCTTTTTTGCCAGCGTATTGACGGGGCTATGGTGATAGGGGGTTTAGGGTGGTGCAAAGTAATTATGACTCAAACCGAATACCCCCGTAGTGAGCATGAGATCCTTATGATAATGTCTAGAAGGATTCACTAGTAATAGTCCTACCCACCCTTTTATTTATAAAAAAAACAAAAACTAAGGATCAACCTAAATAACTCGAAAGTCTAGATTATAGCAAAAAAAAAAAAACCTCGAAAGTCTAGAAGTCCCAATTTACATTAAAGCTTAGTTCAAAAGCTGAGAAAATCTAAAAAGTTTTTAGGTATGAAAACGACTATTCCACCAAACTTTTTGTTTTGCTATATTTTTTTAATCTATTTCTTGAAATGTGAAGTTGTCCGTTAAATTTTAATGATAAATTACGTAATATAGTAAAATTTGATAGAATATACTCTTTTGTCTTATGATGCTTTGATATTTTCTTAATAAATGACTAATTTTCTCTCGATCTCTGTGAAGGAAATTTTCTCCAAACCTGATTTCGATTGGTGGGTTAAAGTTTTGTATATTACCCTTATGCGAATTTACCTAAATAAATTTATCACCATCTTTGTAACTTGCCAATTAAACGATTGGTTGATAATTACCAAAAAGTTCTAAAACTATTGCACAATTTGCACTTGTGCCAATTAAGTTTTTTACCTTTTAATTTGACCAATTTAGTCTTAAACCTTTTGATAATTTGCCAAATTTAGTCATTTCAGCCAATTTTAGTTGAAAATCACTAACGTAAAAGCCAGCCGTCTTGTGTAGTATGGCTAAAGCTAAAGTTGACAAATTTTTTAATTTTCTGAAAATTTTTCTGAATTTTTTTATTTTTTATTTTTTTTATTGTGGCCAACGATGGTCGGTGGGGTCTTGCCGAACATTGGGCAAGGGCTTGCAAGCTCTTGCTAGTTGCTAGCGAGGGCTGCCTCACCTGCGGTAGCGAGGTCATGACTTGCCCACATCTAGGTGAGGGCCCATCACCCGCGGCCGAGACTTGCCCAAATCTAGGCAAGGCCCCGGCGACCCTTGTCGGCTATTGTGAGAAAAAAAGAAAGATAAGATAATATAAAAACATTCAATTTTTTTTAAATTTACAAAAAAATGTCCACCTTAGCGCTAGCAGTGTCACGTCAATGATTTCTAGCTAAAATCTGTCAGAATAACTACATTGGCAAATTGTCAAAAGGTTCGGGACCAAATTCGACAAATTGAAAGGTTTACATAAGTACAATAGGTTTAGGAGTCTTCTTGGTAATTTCCTCAAAGATTGGTTGAAGAAAATTTAAGGGCGTGGGCGACCTTCATTAGGAAATATGTGACTTGTTTCCACAATGACTAACTGTTTTCTTGGACCAAAAGGATCGACTCCACTAAATCTAAGGGGTCGATCATAAACATCTCTAGAAATATCCTTTGACTCTTCATACAAATGCGATTAACCCGTTCAACACCAGTTAAACATTATATTGCTCAGAAAGGGACAAATGGGTTAAAGCAAAGACACATCAACCTTTGATTTTTGATCACGGAAAGTTGATTTTACGTTGTCCACCGTTGATGTTGGCCTTTGTGGCGTCCGAACTTTGAGTTGAATCGAGCGTGCAGCCCAATGCAATGAAATTAAACAATATCTTGCTTTCGATCTCTTGAATGACCGAAGACTTGTGCGGTTGCTTAGGCACGAAAAGGTCAAGGAAAAAAAGGGGTCTACGACGAGAAAAGCTCCATTGATTGATTGAAAGAAGGCAGAGAAAAAGAGGGAAGTCCATGAGCAGAGAGGTCAACAAGGCGATGGACGAAGGTCCAACGACAGCAAAGCACCAAGCACTTTGTCAATCATTAAACATTATTATACTAAAAAAGATCATGCAACTCTCTAATTTCTAAATAATTTGGTCAATGGTTGATCTTTCTCTGCAGACCCTAAGTTTATCGGATTGGACCACATTCTCAATCAAGCTTTT